GTCAGTTGAATATTTTGATAATATTTCATTATGATATTTTCTATTTGTTGTGGAATTGTTGGTCACATGTGAAAGTGTAATCTGTCTGCTAACACCAGGATGTGTTTTGAAATGTTAAAAACATCTTGATTGCTGTTAAAGATAAAGCTGAAATTATATTACACAGTCCAAGGTAAAAAAGCACATTTTGTTAAAAAAGAGAAAAGTTGGGAGGTTGTATCAAAGCATAGCTCAGTAGCTTAGTACATATAAGATCCATAAATGTAGTTTAAATTGTCTGAGTACAAGGTTTTATTTTTTCACTTTTGCACCCTGTTTTGTTCCACTTCTCAAGAATGACTCGAGATCATGCGCTGTGTTGCTGATAAAAAAAAATAATAATAATAAATAATTTCAGTTATGTTGCTTTAATATAGAAATAAATGTGATGAACAAAACACTTAAAAGTACTTGCTATTTAATTCCAATCGAAATCCAAAGACGAAAATTCATTTATCATCAATTTTTACTGTAGTACAAATATGTGTTTATATGTATTTTGTTTTTTTGAAATATGACAACAATCACATATCTCACACAGAGATCACATTATCATAGTGTTTGGGAATATTCATGCATAATTTTAACACATAATCAGAGCCAGCCCAAGGCATAAGCGAACTAAGCGGCTGCTTAGGGCCCCCCGAGGCCACCACTCGTTTTAATGGTTGACTACATCAGATCGTAACATAAAAAGTCTTACCATTTGCGAGTAAAGACAAGAACACTGAGATCAAAATAAATCGAAGCATTTTTCACAAAGATGATATGACAGCAGATTCCGATTCATTATCCCTTGTTTGTTTTGTTTTTCTTCTTCTTTTGTATGTATTATAAATTACTGCTATTTGCTTTGATCTTCTGTTAACAGTACGCGGTCTTTTTTGAACTTCAAACATCCAACCCTTGACTTACGACCACGTGATGTCGTCAGACTCGAAACTGAAACAATAACAGTTTTACATTTGACCGATTGGGAGCGCTGTTAATACATCACAGTGAATCAGAAAATCGATATATAGTCAGTTATGTTGCTTTAATATAGAAATAAATGTGATGAACAAAACACTTAAAGTACTTGCTATTTAATTCCAATCGAAATCCAAAGACGAAAATTCATTCATCATCAATTTTTACTGTAGTACAAATATGTGTTTATATGTATTTTGTTTTTTTGAAATATGACAACAATCACATATCTCACACAGAGATCACATTATCATAGTGTTTGGGAATATTCATGCATAATTTTAACACATAATCAGAGCCAGCCCAAGGCATAAGCGAACTAAGCGGCTGCTTAGGGCCCCCCGAGGCCACCACTCGTTTTAATGGTTGACTACATCAGATCGTAACATAAAAAGTCTTACCATTTGCGAGTAAAGACAAGAACACTGAGATCAAAATAAATCGAAGCATTTTTCACAAAGATGATATGACAGCAGATTCCGATTCATTATCCCTTGTTTGTTTTGTTTTTCTTCTTCTTTTGTATGTATTATAAATTACTGCTATTTGCTTTGATCTTCTGTTAACAGTACGCGGTCTTTTTTGAACTTCAAACATCCAACCCGTGACTTATGACCACGTGATGTCGTCAGACTCGAAACTGAAACAATAACAGTTTTACATTTGACCACACAGTCAGTTACATTCGATGAAGTAAACAGACGGGACAAAATAACTTATGTCAGAGCAGATCAGTGCATTAGTATGTCTCAGTGTAAATGACCAGAATTGGAGCATATGTCTCATTATTCATGTCTGGGTCAATTTAGCAGCTTTAATAATAACCCTCTAAATAAAATCCATCCAGCACTTTTTGTTCTATTCCTGGTACTGTATTGCTTTGTTTTGTTGCTGTATTATTGAAATTGATACTGAGATGAAATGTCACTGGTAATTGTACTGATGCCTGAAATCTGGTATCATGAGACAGATACTCTGTAAGCAATGGCATCTTCAGCTGATCTTTCAAATTTTTTTTTCCACTGTCACTTTAAATGAAAGTATGAAAATAAAATGTTACATTGTGTCATTGGCAGCCCCTTTCTCAGTCAGATCAGGGGCAATTCATCTTCATCATCTATAAATCGAATATCAGCTTGATTATGGAACTTGATTATCTCACAGGTAGTGTTCAACAATAGAGTGTTATTCTCATTAGTGTTTGTCAAAAGAGTGTTATTATCATTTGAGTAAGTCTCATTAGGGTTTGTCAATAGAGTGTTATTCTTGTTAAGAGATATCTCATTGGTAGCGTTCGTCAGTGGAAGATTCTTGTGTTTAGGGGCCGACACACCATCCTGCTGTAAAAAAATTAAAATAAAAAATACATATTCAAAGAAGGTGTAATAAACAGGTTTAATGTTAAATGAACAGATTTAATATTTGAGTAACAGACACAAAAAGACTACTACCAATATACTAAGATGTGTTGTAATCAGACACTTGCGGTCTAAAAATGGCTGTACTGTAAATAATTATTTGTAAAAATATTTAAAATTCAGTACTAATAACATTTAAGAAATTTCACACCACTGTTCTTCATTCTAAAGAAAAATTACGTTTATTATTATAAACAGTTATTACTAGTTTTTGAATCATAACAGAGAAAACTCAAACAGAGATGCACATAGTATCTCACCGTATCACTGGACTGTGTGCTGGGGCCTGTTTGAACAACAATACACTCAATTAAACACATTGACTTTAGTTCATTCGAATAAAAATACATATTTTTTACATTTTCTAAACACGTTTTCTTCTACACAATAAATATAATATTTCCATCTTAAAGCAGCCATATGTAACATGTACCATTCTTTTGTCTGCGGCGATAGTAAATCACACCAGCAGCAGCTGCAGCCACTATCAGCAGAGCACCACCACCACCTGCACATATTCCTGCTACAGCAGCTGTAGACAGACCTGAATCTGGAACAGCTGAAGACAGACACTCATTATTACTAGAGAGTGACTGATAATCAACTTTACTCATATCTTTGACTGATAATATTTACACTTTTATATTTTGATCATTATTTGTATAATATTGCTTTAACTAATCATTTTTTAAGGATGAGCAGCTCAAACAGTGTTACAGCAATATGAGCTGAAAGAGTACAGCAGCACAAAAAAAAACTGACTAATTTGATGAATTTATCTAATAACATTAGACTTCAAACATGTATATTTTCTGAAAAAAAAGTTTGAAAATATGCATGTGAAAGAGATAATATAGAGAGATAATATCTTATATTCTAATAGAGTCAAAGTTATTTCTTTAAATTATTGGAATTATTTTACAATATTGAACTGTATTCTAAAACTGCTTAAGGGTGAAGGCACTGAATTAGTATATTACACTCACCAGTGACCACATTAACACTGAAGGTCCTCATTATGCGGAATCCACTGCTGCTGATCTGTAAATTATAGAGCCCAGTGTCTGCGATCTTGATGTTTGTGATGGTCAGAGATCCAGTCTGATTCACCTCCAGTCTGTCTCTGAATCTCCCATCAGCATCTTTACACTGAACATCTGTACAGCTCCAACTGGTATTTCTAGTGATTTCAGCGATGCGAATGTCATGAAAATGCCACGTCATCAAATCATTTGGGTTTTTCATGACACCAGGATTCAAAGTAACAGATTCTCCCTCCTTTACTGATTTTCTCTTCATTTCATCTTGTTCAGCTGGAGGAACATCTGAAACACAAACCAACAGCTGGATATTTTTGCTGAAAAAAAACAAAACAAACTAAAAACTACACAGCATGAAAGAACCATGGATACAAAGTTTGAATAGACCAATGATCAGAAAAGATAATCAGAGGTCATGATGAGAAACTATCCTCTCCACAAAACACAACTGCAGAATGTCATTGCTTAAAGACACACAATGATGTGCTTTAAACATATATGTTCAATGTTCACTTTATTTATAGCACACATATTAATACAACAAATGTTGACCACAGTGCTTTACATGAGACAGTGCAGAATAACAATAAAAACACTTTCAAGTACTATATCATAACACACAAACCCAAATAAAACCTCAGACTCAATGGGACAATTGGTAAAAACCAGTTTCACCACTAACACCGCACTCATGTATGCTCAAACGCCACGGTAAAAAAAAAAGTGATTTTAAATGTCGCATAAACTCTTTAATAGTGGGGCACTGCCGGATATAATGAGGTAAACCATTCCACAGCCTAGGAATAGCGGCCGCAAAGGAGCGGTCTCCTCTCGTTTTCCGGTACGTCCGCGGGACCACTAAGAGATTCACTGACTCAGAACGTAACATTCTCTTTGGTTTCTTCACCTGGATCAGATCAGCTATATATGATGGAGCTGTACCATGTAAGGCTTTAAAAACAAATAATAATATCTTAAAATCAATCCTATAAGAAACCGGCAGCCAGTGTAGTTCTCTTACAAGGTATATACAGGAATCATGGAGTTAAATGTAATACCTTTTAAGACCTTTTTAAGACTCTTTCCATACATTTTAAGACCTCATCGCCACTCCAAGTTTGAACTGGTTACATCGGCGACTTTAACTTACATTTACTATATATTGATTGTAAGATAGCACACCTAAACAGACTTACTTTGTGATAACTCCTTATCAATACAACAAAATTCAGAAGTGGGGAACGAAGCACAAGAGAATTAATTGAGTTGACTAACCAATGCAAAACAAGAAACAAGACCAATAGACCAATAAACAAAACAACTGACAAAACTTATTGAGGAGGGAAAATAAAGCTCTCCGAGCTAACAGGGCAATGAGTTCACACAGTATATTCAAAAGATGTATTTTTCACATCAGCTCTTATGTCTGCAAACCATAGCTGTTTTGTGGAACACTTCTCATGACAAACATCTGACTGATCAGACAGTTTACCTGTGATTACGGAGTGCTTGATTTGATGCAGACTTGACAGAGTGTCAGTACTGCACCTGATCGTGTCTGAATGATCATGGAAGGTAAAATAATGATCACATCTATTACATCATTTTAATTAACCATCCCAAGCCCATGCCAGTAAAAAAAAACAGCCCAAAGTAGCGCAATTATGCATATCTCCGGGCACCTCCAATCTAGGATTCAAGAATGAATCAATTGTTGAGAAAATAATTTTTGGATTTTGACGATTATTCTCAATAACAGAGACCTGGCTGTTTTCACAGCCCATTGGAATCTGCCTAAGTCTCATAACATTTCATAGGAAATTTGTAACTTGTCTTTCTTCCATTTGCGTTCACATCTTCTACACTGTCTTCTCAGAGATTTAATATGTCATTGTACCATGGGGCAGACTTGCGTTTTCTACACACCTGCCTCAATGGTGCAACCCCATCTAATGTTTCAGCACATACAAAATTAAAAATATTAACAGCTTCCTCCACACTAAGATGCGGAGATAAGAGGTCCACTTTCACACACTGCAACGTTTCCATAAAAGATGCATTAAACTCCACATGTGTTCTAGGCGTTAGTGGACGAAGCCATCTTTTAGCCAAGCAAAATTTTAAATGTGCAAAATTTGCTGGCAAGGAAGAGAAACAGTACATAATATTGGGTTGTGATCAGATACTATAAAATCCTCAATGATAATGTCTCTGACAACTAAGCCAAGTGATAGAACCAAGTCTAGAGTGTGCCTTAGAGTATGCATAGGACAATATAGGTAATATAGCATATATATTACTCACCATGGATGGTAACCTTGAAGATCTTGTCACTGCTGCTGCTGCTGGTGATAATTATCTGCAGTTTATAGAGTCCAGAGTCTGTGTTTGTGATGTTCATGATGGTCAGAGATCCAGTCTGATTATTCAGCTTCAGTCTCTCTCTGAATCTCTCAGTACCTTCATTACACTGAACATCTGTACAGGTTTTATTGGGATCTCCAGTGATTTGAGCGATGCGAGCACCATTATAATACCATTTCACTTTGTTGACCTGGGTTTTTGTAACATCAGTGTATAGAGTGACTGAATCTCCCTCCATCCCTGACACTGATACTCCATCTATCTTCACAGCAGATGCACCTGCAGAAGAAATGAAAAATACATTACAACAATTGTGAGACCAAACTATACAAAAAGGAGTACAAAATCAAAACAATAGAACAAAGATGGAATTGACAGTGCTTTAAGTTTCAGGTATAGGTCTATTGAACAGCATTGTCCAAGTAATAAATACTACATAAACTGAATAATCTAATGTAAAATAAAAGTCTGAATTGTTACACACCTGATTATGTACACATTCACTCATCAAACAAACCTACACGTGTCTTACTTTTCTTAAGTGTTTATTTATCATATCTTTTTAAATAACAGGTATTAGTCTCAGACAGGTTTGTTACATATTTTGCCAGGTATTCGTTAGATAAATGGAAGAAAAAAAACTACTTAAAGAGGTTGTTCCACATTATTATGCAGGTCACAGTTCTCATGCAATATGGGGAGGATGAAAGATCTTTCTGAAGATGAAAAGCATGCAATAGTGCAATGTCTTGCAATAGGCATGAAAACAACTAATATTTTATGAAAACTGAATAGTGATTATTGAACTGTCAAGAGATGTATGAGTGATTTAGCCACATAATAACTTGTTTTTGTTTTTCTTTTCAGTTTTGCATGCATACCAGAGCCACTCATGTCAATAGTATGGCCCATTTTAGACATGGTCGAAAGTATAAAGTGGCACATTCCACAGCGTCTCATTTTGGCAGATTGGCTTCAATATAAGCTGTTTTTAGACTAACGAGAAAGTTTTGAGTTCTGAAACTTAAAGGATGTTTTATAGTACAAAGATCAAGGGAATTATGATTTCTCAGTTCATGACCCCAAAGTAAGCTATTTTATTAGCCTACACTAAAATCATGCTAACAAATATTTACACATACAGTAGGCAACTAAATCATATATATGATATCACCATATCCTGGTAGTGGTGCATAAATTACAACTGCCTAGTTTTGTCGTAAAAAGTCACAAAACATGTGATTAAAACAACATTTTCAGTCCAACAACTTACTTTTTTCGAGTGCAAAGTTATTAGAGCTGACAAGCTGAGTGAACAGAATATAAATTATATCTTACCAGTCACGAGCAAAATCACTGTCATCCAAAAATAATTCATTTTCACCACTGTCCTTCTGAGATAATAATGCAATTTATGTGGTGATAAAAGCTGAAGTTGTTCAAAAACAACCAACAACGCCTTTACTGCCTGCAGTTAAAACCGAAAGCAACAGCTGATGGAGTTGGAGTTGGACTTCTGAAGCGGAAATCGTCGCCGTCGTTGCAGTTTTCTGTGTTTTGATGTCAAGGTAGTAAAACACAGTACCCTACAGTGTTACAAGTATACACAGTTTAATGGGGGGGAAACTAAGCTAGATTTACGATATTAATAACTTTGGAAACGTGCCATCACAGTAAAGGCCCAAGTATACTGCCGTCCGCGTTTCCCGGGAATGTTATTGAGACAGAACTGAGCATGTGTCGAACTTGTCCGGGAAGGAAGGAACCTTGTTTCACGCTGAATTATGGGACTCCACAGCGGAGTCACTGCAGCAGATGGCGCTGTTGTTAAACTTTTCCAGTTAGGGCTTCATGAGGGGTTTTCTCTAACTCAACAGCCCTGGGGTAATAAATATAGTCAATTAAATGTAAATACAATTGCATTTAATTCATCTAAAGAAAGTGCTGTAATAACCACAGAATAAGCAGAACAGATTGAACAGTTGTGTCCCAAGTTGTGTCCCAAATGACATACACTGCACTTACACTCACCTGCCACTTTAGTAGGTGCTCCTTTTCTGCTGTTCAGTAAAGCAAATATCTAATCAAAGAGCCACTCGTTACAACTGAGGTATACAGAAGAGCATCTCTGAATGTTCAACACGTTTAACCTTGAAGCAGACGAGCTACAGCAGAAGACGACCATACTGCCACTACAATTTGCACAGGCTCACCAAAATTGGACATTAGAAGACTGGAAAAGGTTGCCTTGTCTGAGAGTCTTGATTTCTGTTGTGACATTCAGATGGTATGGTCAGAATTTGGTGTAAAAAAAAAACACGGAAGCACGGATCCATCCTTGCTTGCTTAGTTGGGGGCACTTAATAATTGTGTGTTATTTGGCACTATTATTGACTTGATTGCACAGACACTATTGGATGAGAACTAAACCAAAGTTCCTTTAAGGCAAGTCATTTCACTTGGCAGCCATTTCACTTGGCAAAGTCATCTTGGGCATGCAATTGCAGCTCCTATCTCTTTGAATGAGGAAACATCAGATTCTCCAAAACTGTTCACCAAGCGATTACATTTCATATTTGAAATCACCAATGAAATCCGACAACAACTGTCTCATAAATGCTGTTCCTCATGCTCAAAAAGAGCTTATTTTTTAGGCTAGATTAGCCAATGCACATGTCCTAGCGCCAATGGTGGACGACGTACACAAATCAAGTACTTGGGTAAAAGTATAGATACGGTTAATAAAATATTACTCCAGTAAAAGTACTGTTTTCAATTTTACTCGAGTGAAAGTACACAAGTACTTGATTTTTTTATGTACTTACGTAAAAAGTAC